GGGGCAGAAATGAAAATATAGGCGGGGAAATGAAAAAGAGGGGGGAAGTTTCGTAATTTTTTTTAGACAATCTAGTTACGGCTTCGAGTTTGGTTATCTAATTTGTTAATAGGAATATGTTAATTTCAGTCTAATTATGATTAGGAGTCCCATCAATGAAGGTAATAGACCCCTTCATTTTTAAGGAGACCCAATAACGACGGTAGTAGGATCAAATCAACGAAGGGATTAGAAAACCGTTATCCCATATCACAATATTTCTCTATTATTTGTAATCACTAGACGAAGGGTTTAAAACCCGTCGTTATTATATGCACATTAATGACGGGCAAATGGTCCCTTCACTAATTTTGGTCGTTAAATAGTAGATTTCTTGTAGTGCTAACAGTGTGACTGAATACAATTTGACTTAATTTCCGAAGCCGGGGGTCGATACGAAGTTACCCACCAATGGGAAGTTCTTGAAGAATATTACGCATGGTATTCTTAAGCATAACCCGAGATCAGCTGATTATTCAAGATTAAAACCAGTCATCTGAATAATTTATTCTTAATCATGATAAAAAATAATAATGATTAAGAACCTCCCACTGTGGCCATTTAATCATTTTCAAGATGATTAAAACTGTGACTTTCGGAGCACTCTTTCATTGAGATGAGATTCAACAACTGCATATGGTCAATCTTTCCTCACGAAATTCCCAGAGTGTAATTATAGAGTGCTTAATGATTCATGGTCCTCCATCACAAAATCCCTCATTGGTCAAATTAATTGACGGTGGGTTCATCAAAATTCATCATGGTTAAATCCATTCAAACTCCCACTGTGTCTAAGCCTTTAACACTCTCACTGTTGAAGTCCTCACATGACATCCAAGATTTCAATCTGCTAATCCATGGAGATTATCAAACCCCTTCATGTTAAGTCCTAGCCACTTGACACCAAAAAATCCCCACTGAGTGATTTGTACAAGTCAACACTCCCACTGTTATTTGTATTTCAAAATTCACGCTTGGTCAAACCTTTAAACAGTTAGGGCCGAAGTTGGAATTTCATCTCGATAAATAAGAAATCCACCTTCAGATTAGGTAATCAAACCTTCCGATAGTTAGGGTTATTCAGATCATTTCGATTCTCCGAGTGGAGATCCTACTTGGAGTTTCACCGTCCCGGATTCTCGAAGTAGAGATCCCACCTTGAGTTTCCTTTGTAGCGGGAGATAGAATATAAAATTCTTCCTCTTCAGCACCGGGTTCGTCTTTGTCCCAAGAGAAGACATAATTTTTTAACACTTAAATCTATGCCTTACACGTATGGGGGACTTTATCTCGATCCCTAATTAGAGATAAGTCTGCATCTAACACATGTTATCGGGTAGCACATTCCCATAAGAATGGTAAAGTCTATGTATTCAACATCGTAGTATCAAGTCTAAGAGAGTTTATTCTTATAGCACAACGTTACATGCAAAACAGAATTAAACAATCCGTGTGCTAGCCCTACTCAAATGATAGTCGGTAAAGGTACATCAAATCCGTTGATGGTTGAGGGTTTGTCAAAAATCCTATAAGTATTATGTTTATTTATTCCAAGCAGAATAATTAGTTATAATAAAGTTTAATCTCTGCCAAACCCAAAGGAAGCGAGAAAAGATGACACAAATTTAGCCCGACAGCCACCTTTCTTCAAGCGGGACAACTGAACCCGTCTCGAACACACAAGGTAGGGTATACTGTCTCGCACACACAAGACAACATCAACTATATCACGCGAAGAAGCCTCTCCAGCGGTTATGGCTGTATCAGCTCTAATAGTTGGTCCTACAACAAAAACTCCCATGTGGTTAAATAAATAACTAACGGAACGTAAGAGTAAGATCCATACCTATAGATGAACTAATCCTCAATAGTTGGTCCTACAGCCTCGACATTTGGGACTGCCACGCTCCAACACTTTAAGAGCTTAAATTGTGTAGAATTCAGCTAACGCATGAGTATAAACTATGTTAACGCCAGTCAACGCGTCGATAATTTTGCCAAAATAAGGCACAATATTAATTTCAGGTCAAATAATTATTCCGGGGAGTTCAATCATATTCAGATGCAAACTCCCGACGAATATGATCAGTTCAACGTTGATTCAACGACACGAGCCATATTCAGAAACTAATACAACAGTTTTAGTTTAATATTTTAACAAACGGTCAGATGATAAACGCAGCACCGGAAGAATTTCAGTTATTCGATAAAATACTGAATAGGCTGAAGGCTGAAGAAGTCTAAGAATTGAAGATTGGGCGTATCATATCCAAAGTATTCCAGCCTTCTCTATAAAAGAATAAGGTTAAAACACATTGGAGGGGGTATCTGTAGGAGTTAAAAATTACCTATAGGTTTCCGCATGCAGCTCGAGACGAAGCGAAGGCGATAAACGTTGTCATCTAAGTCAAAGGAGATCGTCAAGAAGAAACAAAGGAATGCGTACGAGACGTCGAAACACGCACAAAATAACAAAACAAGATCAAAATGGGGTATCACCACTTACGAGTCGCATCAAAGTGACCCGCTGGTGTGCGGGTCACATTGAAGTGACCCGCATACTCAAGTTCCTGAAAACGTGTGTCTCGGTAGAATTTTAGGATTCTTTCATTCCAGAACCTCCCCAACTGTCTTGAGGCTATCCTTAAACGTGGTTAAGCCGTTGTTGGCTAAGGATAAGATCAAATCATCAATTTCTATCTTAAAACACTGTATCCGGAGCCTATAAATACAAGCATGAGGCCCCTACACACATAGGATCAGAAATTCTTAGAAGAAGGTGAGGTGTTGTCGGTTTAGAGAGTAAAATCCCACGAATTTTAGAGAGGCTAGCAGATCTTGGCGAACTCCAACATAAAGAGGGAGTTTTTTGAGAAATCTGAAGCCCGTTCCCACCGTCCCTTGAGATTAGAATTCATTTTGATCTTAAGAAGAGTATTTATCTTGCATCGTCGAGATATTTACTTTTTTTTCTTGTTTCCTTTGTGAAACATGAACAACGAACCTTCGTTCCGATCAACTCGGATCTGATTTTTGGCAGTCCACGGACTAACTCGTCCCCAGTACAGGCAAAGATCTCACGCAAACAGCAATTGATAAACGATCCTGCGTGTGTTTCTAGGAGATTGTCTCTTTATTTCATTCGTGTAAGAAAATTCTTATAAAAAGCCTTCTTCTTTTGAACTTATTGTAAATGATAAACGTTGTAAATGAGTTCTGCAATAAAATCAATTTCCGACGCAAACAAGCTTAAGGGTCGTTTCATGAATTTTTTTCCTAAAACATATACCTAGGATGAGTATTAATTGGTTCAAACGGAATCAACCAACCTAATCAACCAAAATTTGATGGTTCAGTTCAGTTTTAGAATATATTTAGGTCAGTTCGGTTTGAGAAAACTTTAGCCCAAACAAATCTAACTTTCTCAATTTATCTAAAATATACTCTTTCTTTTCATTAATCCATAAATTTCTCTCTTTTTTCCTCATATTATTTATTCGTTCAATTAATTTACATTGCTCTTTTGTGTTAAAATAGACTTTTTTTTAATAAATTAAACTAGTTCAAGTCCGAACAAAATAGGCCGAATATAACTAACGGAACGAACTCTTGGTCTGTTGGGTTGTTTTCAAATATAGATGGGCTCGGTTCGATTTTGTCAAAATTTATAAAAACCAACCGAACCGATCATATATTTACCCTACTTATACTAATAGTTTAAGCTTATATAGGAAATAGTATGATATGGCATAGATTACCTCGACTGTTTTGCAAAGTACGGTTTCATTCGCTGTCACAATATTGTATAGTAAGCACGACTTAGTCAGGTGCAGTAGTTGGTCGTCATCGTGAATCCAATGGTTATAATATTTTATTCACAAACTTCAATATAAATACTTCTCTTCTTCATGATTAATTCTTACCATTAACTCTTTATACCTCTTTCTTCTTTCTTCTCATTTAAGAGAGAGAGAGATGATGATGATGAAGGAAGCTCTTAGTAGCATATGTGGGTGTATCACAGATGCGGGCAAAGATGCAGAGTTGAAGGCAAAGGTGATTTTGATGAAGAAGAACGTCCTTGATCTCAACGATTTTCGAGCAACGATCCTCGATGGTTTGCAGGATTTTCTAGGGCAAGTTGTCTCATTCCAGCTTGTCAGTTCTACCGTTGGTGACTGGAGTAAGATTCATAGTCAATTCTCAATTAATTTTTGTCTTTAATTAATTGCTACACTAACTTTCCTCAACTTATACAAGTTGGTATGTAAAGTATAATTCTCAACTCTCATAAGAATCTCAATGTATCAGCATATATAGTGTAACATGGTATCAAAGTAATATACACCGATCCAGATTTCACTGGCCGTAAATTTAAAATAATTTTAAAAAAAATATTGTGTATGAGTCCAGTTTTCGATTTAAAAAAGTTGAACCATAGTGCTATGTGAAATATAAAATTACAATCTTAAAACTTTTTTTTTTTTTTTGTTTCTGTGCAGATAATGAGAATAGAGGGATCGTAGGGGAACCAGCCTACCTAGATCATAGCATATTGACATTGCCAACGCTGATTGCCGGCGAGACCGAGTTCGGGTTGACCTTCAAGTACCATGAGACCGAGGGGATTCCAGGGGCTGTTGTTGTGAAGAATCATCATCTTGATGAGTTCTTTCTCAAGAGCATTACCATTGAGAATTTCCCAGGAAAAGGTCGAATCCATTTCGTCTGCAACTCTTGGGTTTATAACGTCAACAAGTATACTTATGATCGGATCTTCTTCAGTAATGATGTAAGTACAAAACTTCGTGAAGGTTAATAAACTAATTAATTTACGGAAACCTAGAGCCAATAGCATAGAATAACCATTAAAAAGTCTATTTAAATTTACGGAAATTAACATACACATATGCATACATGTGTGTACACATATATCTTGTGTACCTAAAATTTATCAGTATTTTCAAATTCATGATTGACACGCTTCATCTTACTTGAAAATAGCTAAATCTATATGCATACATGCTTGGAAAGTATAAGCTAATCCTGTTCGATATATGTTAAGTTTACAAATGGTTTAAGAGACGTTTATTTTGCTTATAGACGATATAATGATTTAGAAAATTTTAAACTATACATATATTTATGCACATACATCGATGTGATGTGCAAATCAAGATGAACAACATGGATCTTTATATTGAGTATAAGTTGTTCATAATAAAAGAATCGTATATTGTCAGCTACAGTTGTTAATAATTAGATATATGCGTGTAAGCCCAAAAGGAAATTAACTAAACATAATAGATTGGACCCATTCCTAGTCAAGGCAGAGAATTTATCACTTAATGAATGGACCAGAGCTAGTTTTTTTTTTTTTCTTTTTTTGCCAATTCCAACCCAAATTGACTTGACCCAGTCCGATCTCAATTCTCAAGTCAATAAGTTACATTACGCTCCTAAAATTTTTAAAAGAAACAAGGGGACTGTGAATGACCGAAACCGGGGAGAAAAACATTCATTAAGTCTAGGATAATGCAACTTAAATTTTTTTTTCTAAATAAAAAAAAAAGAAAGGCTGTTTCCATTCTTTTTCTTTTTCTTTTTCTTTTTCTTATTAGAGAAGAAAATTTTATGATAGTATTGTGAATGGGGTGCAATGAAAAAGTGACTTCGTTTATCATGTGCCAAGACTCCTATGCACTCTCCATAGGAATTAATCTTCATGTAATTGATTGATCAATTAATATGTGGTAGTTGGCGTACAAGATCACCTAACGATGGATATGCTCATGTAACAAATATATAACCAATTTAAGATATAGATGATATAAACATTGAAGCGGGGGTTGGTCGTGTTTGATTAATAATGTGGATGGTTTTATTTATGTATATCAGGAGAGGTATGGAGACATGACTTTCTAAATGTAGATCACATAGAAAGAATATTATTAATCTTAAATTGGGAACGGTTGGAATTAAATAAAAATCATGTAATTGGTTGATTAATTAAAATGTGGTGGTTGGCGTACAAGATCACCTAACGATGGATATGTTCAATGTAACAAATATATAATCAATTTAAGATATAGATGATATAAATACTGAAGCTAGGGCTGGTTGTGTTTGATTAATGATGTGGATGTTTTATTCATGTATATCAGGAAAGCTATGGAGACATGACTTTCTGAATGTAGATCACATAGAAAGAATCTTAACTTGAGATAGGCTGGAATTAATAAAAATTATGTACTACACGATTATTGTTCATTTCTAACAATATTAAGATGCTAGATTTTTAAAAATCCGAATAAAACCGAATGCTACATATTTAAACTATAACGTGTTTGCTTGTTAAATCCTTTTGTTGATTCTTTCACAATTACAGTCGGATGAATGCGATTTTTTTTTTTTTGAATTTTTTTAAACGGGTGCTCATGAACACTCATTAGGAGATGAGAGAGATAGAGCGATGAGAGATAAACTGAGAAACTAGTATAGATTAGGAGGATTCACTTACTATTTGTTTCTCTCTCTCTCATCCGTCAACGAGGGTCCACTTACACCGGTTGAAAAGTACATACAAATTTTCTATAAAGTTGCCAATAGAAAAATGGTTCAATAGTAGAATATTAGATATGACTTATATTTGAACTTTTAAATCTTAAAGTTGGATAAATGGCATTTTCAAGGGAAACATTTATGCAAGTTACACGTGCTGTATCGTTGAGTTGACCTGGTCATGAATACATTAGACCAGTCAAAACTAAACTGTAACAAAATACTCACAACGGACTTAGAATTAGTATAATATTTATAATATACGGTGCATCCTAATGAATTTGGATCACATGATTTTTTACCAAAGAGTTCAACGTAGTTTCTAGAGGAAATAGTCATAGGGCCAGTCTAATATCGCGGGCGTTTTTTGACCAAATACTTCAACTTGAAGAAATGGATTTTTCATATAATTTACTTTTATAAAGTGCTAAAATAATTGTTTGGTAATCCTATATCAAAAATTATTTCTAAAAATAGTTAAGATGTTTAGCAAATCGGTGCTTAATTAAAGATTATTATTAAAAGATGAAGTGCATCCTGATGTCGTTCTAAAAGCACCCCTTAAAAGCAGTTCTTTTCTTTCTTTTTTAATCACCAAACGCCATCAGTGACTCTTTCTAAAAAAAGGCAAAATGACCCAAAATCATCAAACTGACCCTTAATGTGTTTTAAAATGGACGAAAGTCTGAAAATGAAGAAAGAAAATCAAATTGACCTGGATTCTAACCATGGAGATTTTCCAGTGTTATTCCAAAGACGAAATCTATAACAATTTATTACGGATAGTTATAGGCCGTGCATTAATTGCATATGCAGTTTGCATTTATATGCGGGAACAACTAGCTCACGTTTTGTTTGTATTTTTTCATTTTTAGTTTTAAATTGAATACATAACTTTTTGTTATGAGATAATGTCTATCGTACATAATTTAAGGAAGAGTATCATGCATTTTCTTCAAGCATATTTTAAGTCCCATAATTACCCAATCGAGCTCGTTATTGTATGGCCCATTGTTATATATATGGCCTATAAAAAAGAAATCTAATACATTATTTATTGTTGTGAAATAATGTGTATGGCCCATTACCAATGTACATTTAAATTCCGATTTAAATATACATAACTAGTAAATAAACTTAGAAGGAATTTAGCTGGCTGGACTACTGTTATGATTAACAGTAGTCCATCCTTTCTCTCAAAAAAAAAAATAAACTTAGAAGGAGTGCAATATGCATTTCCCCCATTTAATTTTCCATTATATTTATTATTGTTATTTTATCTTATTGTTATTATCTGTTTTTTTTCCTTGGTCTCACCCAACCGCTTAACCTTTCTCACATTTATATGATGATATATTATAAGTATTCCCATGACTCCCCTTGTTACTAGCCTCCAACGTAAATTAGAAATATCTTTTTAATGGAATACACTTTGATATACAATAATGATAAAATATTCACAAGCTCGACATACATATGTTCATCATTTTCTTCCATTCTGTCCTGCTACAAGACATGTCAAACTGAAAAATAGAATATTGTTCAATTGAAGTAACAGTCATCGTGTCTTTTTTTAATTGCCTCCGTCCAGGTGTACCTTCCAAAAAATACACCAGGGCCTCTGAGGCCGTACAGAGAAGAGGAGCTCGTCCACCTCCGGGGGAACGATGTTAACCGCGAGCTACAAGAGTGGGATCGCGTTTACAACTACGCCTACTACAATGATCTCGGTAACCCTGATGAAGGCATCATTAGGCCGATCCTTGGAGGCTCTACGGAGCACCCTTATCCCCGTAGAGGAAGGACGGGACGCCCCCCCACCAGGACTGGTACTGTTGGTTCTAACCAAATAGTAAATCAATTTTATTAAAAGTTAGATTTCATAATATATATATATTAATTTTTGTGGAGTCAGATCCTAGTCTAGATGGAAGATAGGTTATGTTTTTCGTAACGTATCGGGATATGCGTATTATTTTATGAGAAAAATGAGTATGCTCGGTACTAAGCACAAAAAGTTATGCCTGATAGTGAGGTGGCATAATCCTCTCCACTCATTCAAATGGTTGCATATATATCCCCATGCACTCCTCAACCCATGTGAATGTAGTCCCCCATTTGAACGAGTAGAGGTGATTGTGTCACCTCACTACCAAGTACAAAATTTGTGCTTGGTACCAAGCATACACATGTTTCTCTTATTTTATATAGACAGATGTTGTTTTCGCGACTATCTCTTGTTGTTATTAGCGTCAATTTGGCAATTCCCCTTGTAAATCGGTTTTGATCTAAACCAGTTTAGTCCTGGACGATGCAGAAAAGAATCGGACAAGAACAAAGCCAGTTCAAGGCTAAACTCATTTTCTAAGTCCTGGTCCATTTTTCGCCGAACTGGGTGAGGACTTAGGCACTGTTTAGCAACCAAAAAAAGTGTCTTATCTAAGAGCTTGTGTCTTATTGACTTGGTCAATAAGCTAGTAGAGCTGTTTGGTGACCAAAAATAGGAGAAGATTATTTTGGAGATTGTGTCTTTTGCAAGTAGCTTTTGGAAAGCTATCTCAAGTAGCGTTTGTCTTTGGGAAGGAGCTGTTAATTTTTTCTTCCGTTTTTGCCCCTAATAATTCTAATTTTATATCAATAATATTGCATGACCTTTTTAGTCATTTAACAAATTTAAGCTAGTTGTACAGCTTCTTTTGCCAAACAGCTCTAGTCAATCAGCTAGCTACACAACTATCAGCTTTCAGCTATAATTTCACAGCTTTCAGCTAGCTTGACAGCTTTCAGCTATAATCTCGCAGCTTTCAGCTAGTTTTGCCAAACAGAGCCTTAAACTGGTTTTGTGTAGGTTTAAGTGGAGTCGCCAAAGGGGCCTTTACCTTTCGTTTCTATTAACTCCTGAAAGACGTGAAGACGTTATGTCTTTATAGGATGAGATTATTAGTAAATCCTTATTATGAAACATGGAGGTTTATACATAGTACATTTTGCACATCATGTGCTCATTTTTTTTCTCTTGTTGTAGATCCAAAGACTGAGAGCAGATTGTCTCTTCTAGGCCTCGACATCTATGTACCCCGTGATGAGCGTTTCGGACACTTGAAAATGGCTGATTTTCTTGGATATTCTCTCAAGTCTCTAGCTCTGTCCTTCGTACCAAAATTGCGCTCTAAATTTGATCATACTCCTGCTGAGTTCGACACCTTCGATGATGTAATGAGGCTCTTTGAGGGTGGCTTGCCAATCCCTCAAGTTCCTCTACTTGAGTTTCTACACGAGAATGATCCCTTCACCTTCATCAAGGCGATATTCAGTACTACAGATGGCCAACAATTCATGAAGTTCCCGTTGCCTGATATTGTGAAAGGTTTATATTCGTATATATACTATGCTATATATAAGGTTATGTGCATTTGAGGATGTCTGATGAGTTTTGTGTTTTGTTGGATGTCTAGATGATAGGTATGCTTGGAGAACGGATGAAGAATTTGCAAGAGAAATGTTGGCTGGTGTGAACCCTGTCATCATTCAGAGACTCCAAGTAAAATTAAACTCTCAGAACATTTATTGTGGATAAACTTTGTAATTTGCATAATTTTTGAGTTATGAGACTTTTATGTTTGCAGGAATTCCCTCCAACTAGCACACTTGATCCTAGCAAGTATGGAAATCAAATTAGCTCGATAGCAGCAGCAGATATTCTCAAAAATCTAGAAGGACAATCTGTTGAAGAGGTAATTAAAACTTTTGCATTTTTCTGAATCTATTTCTATCTGAAAAAAATTTGGGGGCTTTGTGAAGTTTACCCGCAAAGGAATTTCCAGACTAACTTGTTTTTCTCACTTCGGTGCAGGCACTGAGCAACAATAGGCTTTACATATTGGATCACCACGATGGGCTAATGCCGTACATGAACAGAATCAACTCAACAACCAACAAGATCTATGCGACAAGAACGCTGCTCTTATTGAAAGACGACAGTACTCTGAAGCCGCTAGCAATCGAGCTCAGCTTGCCGAACCCTGACGGAGAGCATCTCGGTGCAGTGAGCAAAGTCTTGACGCCGTCCGAACAAGGTGTCGAAGGGATCATGTGGCAGTTGGCCAAAGCTTATGTTGCTGTGAATGACTATGGCATTCACCAGCTCGTCAGCCACTGGTAACATAATCGAATTCTCTTTAGGCTGTGTTTGGCAAAGATACACAAAAAACAGGGCCATGATTAATCCTAATTTGGTTCTAAGCTAAACAATTGGTCGTTTTGGTCTTGGAGGGAGTGGACCAAAATGAACTTAAGGGCTAAATTTTTAAGTTAGGTCGAGATGTCTTGTCAAGATGGTGCGATGAGCAATCATCTTTCTGTCCTCAATTTAACCAGAGAAAAGATAAAATTGTCCTCTAAAGTAGAAGAAAAAAAGCTAATTCCGTCTCAGAGGGTACGTTCGTAATTAATAACTTTCCGTTAGTCGCCTTAACAAGTGAGTATGATCTGATTTCATTATGTTGTTTATACTTGATTCAGGCTTAGAACACATGCAGTGACCGAGCCGTTTGTAATCGCGACGAACAGGCGCCTAAGCGCGCTTCATCCGATCAACAAGCTTTTGGTGCCTCATTTTCGTGATACGATGAACATAAATGCGTACGCTCGCCAGGGACTCATCAATGGTGGTGGCATCCTTGAATCCATTGTGTTCCCAAACAAATATGCGATGGAAATGTCTTCTTTCATCTACAAGAGCTGGAATTTCACTGAGCAAGCTCTCCCTGTTGATCTCCTAAAGAGGTAAACTAACGTGCTCTTATTAAACATTTCTTTATCAGAAAACTCCCACTTTAAGTTAGTTAGGGGTATTCTGTTCACTGGCAAAAGGAAACCAACCTTAAATTAGCTCAACCTATATATAATCTAATTCTAATTTCAACCAACCATCGATTTCAATTCAAATGTTGGCGTTCGTGCCTAACCAACACGCTTCATTCCCACGACAGAGGAGTCGCAGTTGAGGACCCAACCGGTCCACAAAACCTCCGCCTCCTAATACCCGACTACCCCTACGCGGTCGACGGCATCGAAATCTGGTCGGCAATCGAAACATGGGTCGCAGACTACATCTCCATCTACTACCCCAACGACTCCGCCGTCCAATCCGACGTCGAGCTCCAGTCCTGGTGGACCGAAATAGTCCAGGTCGGCCACGGCGACCACAAGGACGAGCCCTGGTGGCCCAGAATGCAAACGGTCGGCGACCTCAAAAAATCCTGCACCATCATAATCTGGGTCGCCTCGGCCCTCCACGCCGCGGTCAACTTCGGCCAGTACGCGTACACCGCCTACGTGCCAAATCGACCAACTATCAGCCGCACAGCCGACTACGACAATTTGCTGGCCAAGCCGGAGAAGGCGTTTTTGGACACCATAACTAACGAGCTGGACAGCATCGTAGGGATATCGCTTATGGAGATACTGTCGATGCACGCGTCGGACGAGATATACTTAGGTCAACGGGCTTCGCCCGAGTGGACGAAGGACGAGAAGGCGCTGGGTGCTTTCAGGCGGTTCGCTGAGAAATTGCGCGGCGTTGAGAGGAGGATAGACGAGAGGAACAAGGATAGGGGGTTGAAGAACAGGACCGGGCCTGTGAACGTGCCGTACACTTTGCTGTTCCCCACGAGCACTGAGGGGGTCACAGGGAGGGGGATACCTAACAGTGTTTCCATTTGAGATATATGATGGTTAGGGTTGGAATAATTAAGGGCCTGTTTGGATTCGTAGGGGGTGAAGGGAAGTTAAGGAAAACTGAGTGAAGGGAAGGGAAGGGAAAGGAAGGGCCCCTTGGTTACACCCCAATTTGGGGGGTAACAATTTTTATACTATTAGGGGGTGAACCAAGGTGAATGGAGGTGAATTAACTTCACCTCCTAAGTGTTCCCAAACAAGGTGAATGGAGGTGAATGGTTCCCCTAACTTCCCTTCACCCTCATTCCCCTCAATCCAAACAAGCCCTAAGTTTAGTTGTGTGATACGATCGAGTGAGTGTTTTTTTTTTTAATTGTTTTGAGTGCTTGTAAGGTCGTGATGATTCTTTTTAGGTGACGATTCATTGTTGGAGAAGGATGTAATAAATTTGCCTACTCTGCCAGTCGATGAAATAATAAGTTTTAGTCTTTTCTTTGTACGTGACGTGGTTGTAAAATTCTTAAATGTTGAAATCTTAGCTGGTTATTAGCTCTTTAATTAGTTTCTATCCACTAATTTTTTTTTATGCTTAAAAGCACTGATACGTAGTGAATCTCCCAAGTAAATAAATAAAAATAAGTAAGGATTTGATGAAATGAGTTTTTAGATATGGATACATTGTACGTTTCAAGGAGTGAGGGACAAGCATGAACGTGGCTCAGCTCTTGGTTCAAGCGCTTCGCAAGTGGATATTTCTTGAACAATTTTGTCCTTATGTACTTTGTACATCCTTATATTATTTTCTCCTTACCTAATCACACCTTAAATTTAAGCCGTTAATGTCATTAGCAAAAATTTATAGCAGTTCATGTTATTTTTTATAGTTTTGATAATTCATAATTCATGATTGTTTTCTTGACAAAATATATATTGGTTTTGTGCAAAACCGCCAAAGTTATTTATGAAATTTATCCTATTAGCTCTATGATTAGGGTAAGAAACAGAGGCGGGTCCCAAAAATGTGAACTTCTTATAGGTATATATAGATATTGTTACATGACTGTTGTTGAGCCAACTAATCACAGTTAGCATTTTGGGCTTTGTGCCTGTTATGGGGCAATGAAGCCATGGCATGCGTCAGAAAAGTAGAAAACAACGCCCCCCCCCCCCCCCCCCCCCCCCCCCCCCCTAAATTTTCAGCTTTGAAATTTTTTTTAAAAAAATCTAGATCAAAATATCAAATTTTCAGCTATACTAAATTTATAAGTATTCTCTTTAAATTTTTCTCTAGAATATTTTCGTCTTAACCTTCAGATGTAAGTTGATAGTGTCTCTAATCATTCACATAAATGTACTAAAAGGAAAATCACCTCTAATTTCTTAAGATATAATACCGGTAATACTTAACGCTTGTTGATTTTTTTTTTGTTTTGACTAGTTGAATTTCTAATTAGATAAAGTTTGAATCTTTTTTATTTTTAAATTGTTTCAGTTAGAATTGATTAATCATCAATAAAACGTTGTATTCTCTCTTCTATATTCCAAACTTAGTGTTATAAATATTTTTGAATGAAAAAGCATTAAAAATTGGTTGAAGTTAGTGTTCTTTTGATGAAAAAAATAACTCGACACTTACGTATCTTGGCCTTCCCATATAAAATTTCTGGCTTGGCCCTTGGAAAGAACAAAAAAAATTCCAATGTTTATAGGTATGCGTTACATAAAACTAGGTCAACGCAATAAAAGGAAACTATCAAGATAATCTTTTTATATGCATGTAGATAATCTTTTTATATGTATGCAGCTATGGACATATCTGCAAGTTCCCATGTCAACGAATGCGGCTATTACTGAAAGTGTTCGACCGCGTGGTTTTATAATGCACGTTTTACGCACCGAATCAATGTACCTTATCAATTAAACATTATCCGTTTCCTTTTCTCAACTACTCACTCGGATGTAAATAAGGTCACGTGCAGCTGAAAAAAATATCAGGGCAAAATAAATATGGTTGAACTCTTAACATTGTGAATAAGGTGACGTGCATCTGAAAAAAAATATCAGGGCAAAATAATTATGGTTGAGCTCTTAACTTCCCTCCTAAAGTATTAGTTTATCTATTGCTCTTCTTAAACTATGTCTGTAGATTCAACTTGGTTACTTTGCGAGCTCATGAGGCGTTCCTAACTCTTTCTTCCAAAAAAAATTCTTTAACTCTTTCTTCCAGAAAAATTTCTCATTTATCACTTTTCTGAAATTGTACTTCTTTTTAGGGGCTGTTTGGTTCGTTTCCTAGATATAGGGAAATGTAATTCCATGTAAAGAAACACAAGTTTTTAGTTTTACAAACTTTTCCAAGAAATAGATTGTTTTTGTTTGGTTCGCACAAAAAAATGGTGGGAAACCAATATATTTACTTTTCTTGTGTTTGGTTTGCATGAGAAAAGAAGGGAAAACTTTCGTTGATTTGACATTTCCCATTTTTCTTGTGTTTGGTTGGTTTTGAAGTGTGTAGAGAAAAGTGTTTAGAGTCACCAAAGTAAGATTACGCCCCACTATAGACAAAAATTATTTGTGCTAGTTATGGGATGTAATCTTAATCATATAAAAGTGTGAATGTATCATGAACAAATAATAATATCCCGAATGAATTATAAATTTATGTTTGTATTAATGAAATCATACGAAACCTGAAATCATATGAAACCTACTGTAACATGAACTGCGTACCTGATTTAACTTTAAATATACCTTATTGAGATGAAAAAATCACACGAAACCTGTTTTTCAAGAAAAAATAAACAAGACATGTAATACCCTGATTATTCATAATTTTATGAAATACGTACCTGAATTAGCCAGAAATTCTTATGGAACCTATAAAAATATATAAACAACCTGATTAGCCATAAATATGTATATAACATAGCAAATCGCATCAAACTTGGAAATACCAAACATGTACGTAATGGCTGAGGGCTCAGAATTTGGTCAATATCTTCATTGTTAGCCGTCCAGTGCAATATCAATAGATATTGCAGGTTGCTAATCTTAGAAATTTTGACAATCATCATAGCCTAAACAAAAAAAACTGACAGACAACAAAACTATTTACAAAACTTCACAAACACTGAACGTCGTCAAAACTGAACATAAAACTTCACCTGAACACAAACCTGAACACAAAACAATCTCACAAACACTACCTGAACACTAGATAGTCTCACAAAACTGAGCACACAACTGCATGAACACAAGACAGTCTCACTAAATCTGAGCACAAAACTTCTCACAAACCTAAACAGCCACGGGAGCTCGACGACGAGCACAAATAGCAACCAAAAACCCAACAACATAGAGCTAAACAAGCTCGAATCAGCATAGTAACAAAAAACAGCCATGAGAGCTCGACGACGAGCACAAATAGCAACCAAAAACCCAATAACATAGAGCTAAACAATCTCGAATCAACCTATTAACAAAAAACAGCCACGAGAGCTCGGCGACGAGCACAAATAGCAACAAAAAACACAACAACATAGAGCTAAACAAGCTTGAATCAGCCTATTAAAAAAAAACAGCCACGAGAGCTCAGTGACGAGCACAAATAGCAACCAAAACCCCAACAACATAGAGCTAAACAAGCTCGAATCAATATAGTAACAAAAAAAAGCCATGGGAGCTCGGCGACGAGCACAAAAAGCAACCAAAAACCCAACAACATAGTAACTGACCAACAAATCCTGAATAAAATAACATCTGAGCACAAATCTGAACCTGAAAACAAACCACACTCTACATAGTAACTGATCACAAACCTGAACACAACCAGGCCTCCACATAGTAACTGAATACATGTAACAACCAGGCCTCCACAAGTAATAAAATAGCATTTGGGGTGTATGCATAGAGGGCTTGGTTTGCATAATGTGTCTCACCATGGAAATGTTTGTGTTCAGGTATATAACATGAGGGAAAGAAACAGTCTCACCAAGGAAATGTTTGTGTTCGGGTAAATGTATAAAGTAAATGTATAATTCAAGCACGAGTATATGCAAATTACGGCTTAGGGCTCAGAACTTCGTCAATATCATCATTGTTAGCCATCCAGTGCAATATCAATTGCAGGTTGCTAATTGTTTGCGGTGAAAGTTGATTTTTTCATTGTTATCAAATCTATTACAACTTTAGTCGTTACAATAAACTCGAATGAAATAAAAAGTTGATCTTTTTATAAGATCTCCTTACACAATGAAAATAAAAAAAAATTACAACTTTATCAAACAAACGCAGAGATCGTTTATCGATCTTCTGCTTGTGTGGGTGTCTTTGCCTGTGCCGGGGTTTATCCATGGACCACCGTCGATAAGATCTGATTATCGAAAAATCGGGCAGAGCTTCGTTGATTCGCGAAGGAATCAAGAAACCGTAGCGCTTATCTCGGCAACGGCGAGATAATTACTCTTCTTAAGATTATCGCAACGGGATAATCTTAAGGAACGAACCCGGGGAACTGCAGATCTGAAGAATCTCTCTCTCTTACGTTAAAGAACTCGATCCGATCTCTCCTCCTCCTCTCTGAAATTCGTACACCTTCAGTCTTCAATCCGGCAGGGCTTCGCCTAATCTCTAAAATTCCAGATCTGAAAAAATGAGGACCCGGGGCTGTATTTATAGGCTCCAGGGAGTTTCGGACGGTTAAAACAACCTAAAAGGCCATTTCTGTGTTGGAGACACTCTAGGGTGTCTCAAACTGGGCCGAGACACCCCGGGTGCCCCAGTTCAGCCTGAGACGCTCCGTTATGCCTGTTTGATTGTTTCCACCGTAAATTCTTCGTCCAAACTCGGATTTGAGTGATTCCAAGTGCGTTGGAAAGTGTTTGATTGTTTCCACCGTAAATTCTTCGTCCAAACTCGGATTTGAGTGATTCCAAGTGCGTTGGAAAGCTAACGAAGAGTTTTATAAGATCCAATGATTATATCATCAGTTGAACAAGTGAGACACGAAGGGTACTTCGCCGTTTGTGAACGATACAAGGTTCCCGATCAGTTCGTATCTTCACCATTCCGAAGTTCCATTGTTTCACATAGTTCGTCGATTCACTTCAAGCGTTCACCGACATCAATCAAACTTCTGTGAACCAGATGGTGACGTTCATCGTCA